CATATATATATATATATATATATATATATATGGGTTTACATTTGTTCTATTGTCTTCTTCCTATGATGGTTTGAACAGTGGTCTGTGAGATGATAAAGATTTAGATTACTTCTAACTTCATCCCTTAATAGGCCGATAATCCCTTCTGATCTCCCTCTTTTTTTTTTGTCCCAGCTCACAGTTGTAGTGAAGTACTTTTTCCAGTTTGGTTTCTTCCCCTGGACCACGTCTGCCTACAGAGGAATCAATGCAGACCGGCCCTTTGCCCTGCCTAATATCATCGGAGTGGAGAAGAAAGATGGTTATGTCCTCTTTGACCTCATCCAGCTGCTTGCTCTGTTCTTTCATCGATCTATTCTGAAGGTAAATCTATTCTTTGACAACGAATTGTGACACGGATGCCAGCGGGGTAGTTCTCATTTCTTTTTCCCAAATTTAAAGTGCCACGGGTTGTGGGATAACAAAGAGGTCGAGATGCCTGACTTCTTCAAGAAGCTGAAGAAGAAAGTCGACAAGAAGAAGATGACGGGAGCAGATAAGATGGGGAGAAAAGAAAGATCTTTACGCCAGATGAAATTCCTCCCCTTTCAGGCCTCCACCACCTCCATCTTCTGCCGACAAAAGAAAGAGGATTCTGGTGGTGAGAAAAGTTTCTCTAGGAGCTGTCTAACATGTTGGATGGTTTATAAATATGTAATCTGTATCCTTGAAGAGGTGAAGCCGAAGAAGCAGTCCAGCAAGAAAAAGAGAGGAGAGAGACGTACTGCTCCTCTGTCCCGGAAGCAGAGGATCAGACAGCACATCAGAGAGAAGATGCTGCAGGTCAAAACTGCTGCCATAGAGGTGTACGTTGTTTCTCTCCTGGACTTTTTATCATTATTCTTCTATATTTATTGTATATAGAATCCCTCGAGATCCGAAATTCTGCAGCAGAGACAGAAAAGCAGCCATGATAGTAGGAATATGGATGGAGCTGAATACAAATGCATGCCACACTTTCCAGATTCTATTTCGTAAAATATTGTAGCTTTAACTTTCTTTTTTTCCTGATATTGAAAATCATGAAATACTTTGCATCAGTCAGTCATTGAAATTACCCCCAATGGAACTCTCTACCAATATATATGAAGTTATACACATATTAATGTGTTTATTTCAGCGGGATGGAGAGAAGTGACATGTTTTCCTCTCCCTCTCCTCTTTTCAGAGCTCTTCACATCTATCTCCCGATAAGGCAGTTCTTCTATGACATCATTCACCCTGACTACAGTCCTGTTTGTGACGTCTACGCCCTCATGTTTCTTATTGATGTCGTCAATTTCATTGTGACCATATATGGCTACGGCGCCTTTGGGGTACACACATAAAAATACAGCTAGTTACAGCATGCCATCATAATTCAACAGGAAGGTGTGTAGAATTTGAAACTGTTTTCACCACCTCTTTAGAAATATTCTGCATCAGTGGACATCTCAGAGACTCTGTCAGAGGACCAAGTTCCTGAGGCCTTTCTGGTCATGCTGCTCATCCAGTTTGGTACCATGATTGTCGACCGTGCCCTGTACCTGAAGAAGTCTCTGCTGGGGAAATGTGTTTTCCAGGTTGTGTTGGTGTTCGGCATTCACTTCTGGATGTTCTTCATCCTTCCTGGGGTCACAGAGAGGTCAGGGCTTGATTCGTAAACTCACTTTTGGAACTTTGCATGAACCCTGAAATTCCTCATCAATAATCAGCCTCCAGGTTTAAACTAAAAGCATGAGTTTGACATCTTGTAATTTACTTTTCTATGTTAAGAATCATATTCAGAAATAAATTATGACAATACAGGGTTTAGATGCGGAGTAAATCAAAAGTTCTTTACAATTAACTTAAAATGTGTTTGTTTATGGTGCAACGGAATTACATAAATGTTGGTTTTTGACAGGTGTTCTCATTGGAAGAGCTCAATGATTTATTAGATTGACGCTAAGTCCATTTAAGTAGCTTCACGTTAGCCTGCTTTATCTTGTCCAGAATCTGTTTTCACTCACGTTTGAGATGATCGCCTTCTTGTTTCCACATTTTAACCACCTGACCCGACTGACCCACATTTGAAGGAAAAATATTTAAGATGTTAAGGAACATTTCAGAATCCACGTTCCAGGGGATATTTATAGCCAGGGGAGAATGGTTTACATATTTGGACACGATAACAGCTTGAATTGTCTCTGTAAAGTGCCGTGTGATGACATGTATTGTGAATTGTTGCTATCTAAATTAAATGAATTGAATAATAAGGAGGGTTTGGCTTTAAACCAACGAGCAGTGTCAAGCTTGGTGTTGGCCTTGTCATGCTGAGGGTTTGTTGCGTTTGGTGCGTTGCACAATGTTGCAGAATCTTTACTAAGAAGAATTATTTAATAGCTATTCAGAGCTATAATAAAAACTTGTTGGGTACAAAAACACTGCTGAATATGCAGTTTGCTTAGAATTATTTAAATATATATTAGAGAAATTTAAGATATATTAGAGATATAAAATCCTAAACCTGTAATGACTATATGTAATGCACAATACATTAAAACTTGTGTAACCACTCCTGGTTTTTTATACTTTGCATATAAACCTTTCTAAATAAATATGATTTTCATGCCTATAAATAATCAGTCCTTGTAAACTGATCACCAGAAACCTGGGTTAGGTTTGCATCACTTAAAATTAATAAACTCATTAGAAACAAATATATGCAACTTTTATTAGCAGAAGAAGGAACATACTAGACTGAAAAAGCATTTTTATTACATGCTGAGTCGTTTTGCTATCACAGTAAACTCAGACACTATAGAGGCAGTGAATCTGTTGCTTAGTAATAAACACAGAAAGGTTGATAATTGATGTCTCTGTTATCCCTTTTATCTGTTTGATCCAGGAGGTTCAACAGAAACCCCATCGCTCAGCTTTGGTATTTTGTAAAGTGCATCTACTTTGGCCTGTCTGCCTATCAAATCAAGTGTGGCTACCCAAACCGCATCCTGGGCAACTTCCTTACCAAGAATTACAACTACCTCAACCTCTTCCTCTTTCAAGGGTACAATTTCATTCAGGAGGGACCTAAACCATACAAATAAAAACCCTACCTTTTAAAACACATCAACTTATTAATGTATTTTTCTTTTTTTTGAATGGATGTCTTCTTCTCACCTTTCAGCTTTCGGATGGTTCCTTTCCTCACAGAACTGAGGGCTGTGATGGATTGGGTTTGGACAGACACCACTCTCTCTCTCTCTAGCTGGATTTGTGTTGAAGACATCTACGCTAATATATTTATCCTCAAATGCTGGAGAGAGTCTGAAAAAGTAAGAGAGGATTTTTAAGTATGTATATTTAACCATATAGTGCCTTGTTATAGCGTCCAAACCTACAACCTAAGACTGTGACTTGGGCTGCAAAGAAAGTTGGAATGTTTGTTTTCAGCCCAGTTTCCACTGACATCTCTTAATAAAGTCCAATATAAGCCGTTTGCCTTCAGGAGTCACATAAAAAGAGAACAGAGTCTAGAGGTGACTGGAATCTGTGGAAATACTTGAGTATTGCAACATGTAGATGATCTTCCAAGCTGCTGGGCACTAAGCTATTTTGCAAAGAAGAATGGACAAAACCTTCATTCTGTCGATGTAAAGGTAGTTTAACAAAGCATTTTATACACTTTTTTTTTAAGGTCCACATCTGTATGAGAACCTTTGCTATAATCTTTTGTTACTGTAACACTATAATTTCCCAATTGTGAGAAAATACAGGGATTTTCTATTCTATTTACCTATTTGGATGAGCTGAGTAATATAATTTTCTCCTCACAGTTTCACCTTACTGTTGTTAGTTTATCACATGAATCTCTGTAAAATACACTGAAGTTTTTTGCTCTCAGAATGTGAAAAAGTTCAACGATATAAATACTTTTGCAGCCACTCTACTACTGTACAACTAATTTAAACATTCAGGACGTCATGATTGAAAGTCCATAAAGCAATTAGTCAATATGATTAAATGTTTCCCTATTTAAAGAAATGCAATGTGAAAGAGATTTTAGTTTAAATTAGGATTGTTTATCTTAACAAGAAGCGGCTAATCGGCTGTGAACTATTTTCCAGAAATATCCACACCCTCCAGGGCAAAAGAAGAAAAAGGTGGTGAAATATGGGATGGGAGGCTTCATCATCTTCGCTCTGATTAGCATCATCTGGTTCCCGCTCCTCTTCATGTCTCTGGTCCAGTCAGCGGTGGGAGTAACCAATCAGCCGGTGGATGTCTCCATCCAGCTCAGCATCGCAGGATATGAGGTCAGTGTTGGTAGCAGCTAAAACGCTGTCTGATAATGTTTTACATTAGACACAGAAAAATGTGGAAGCTACCATTTTAATCTCTGGCTACAAATGAGCATGCCTTTATGTTACTTCTCCATGTTTGCTCCCTTTCACAGCCTCTGTTTTCCATGAGCGCCCAGGAGCAGAACTTGGTTGCATACTCAGAAGCTGGATTCAACCGACTCACAAAAGTTTATGCTACTCATCCAGTAAGATATGTTCATTGTTCAGCAAAATAAAATAAAAAAAACCTGTAGCTACAATTAATTAAAAAGAGGAGAAATATCTGTTTAGATGTGTGCTTCAGATTCATATCAGTCCAGATGAATAAATCCTACTTATAACAGAAAACTGATGAATATATCAAAGCCCTTAAACACACTTAAAGGACTTACATAGAGATTCAATTCTTTAAGGTTGAAAATCCTCAGAGGCTAATTTCCAGTTTAAATAAAATCAGAGTTTCCAAGTGTCATAATTTAGTGATGCCATTTACTGAAAGCCATTAGAACAAGATGTAATGCTGTTCCCCCTCACTATGTGTTCCAGGGTGCTATGCAGTTCCTGATGAACTATGAAGCAGAGGATATTGTTGTTGCTAAAATCAAAAGTGATGCCAGTCTGCTATGGACCATCAGCCCTGCCAGTCGTGCAGCGATGATTGAGGAACTGAGCAACTCTTCTCACATATACATCACTTTACGATGGACACTGCTCAGGTTAGGCTCTGGTTGCTTTTTTTCTTTGTATTTCATTTGCAAACACCTGGATCTACAAAAGAGGAGGTAGTGGTTGCTGACCCAAACATGGAGGAATTCCACAAAGTCATCAGCAATAATGCAGACAGGAAGGAATCGCAGAGAATAGTGGGAGGAGCTGAAAGAGTGTCTGGTTGTGTTTTCCAACTGCAAAGATGGCTTTAAAAAAAAAATCTTTCTACACATAAATAAAGACATTTGGTCATGCCAGGAATGACTCTTCAGTCCAGGAGGAAAAACCTCTGATTGTTTGGTGGATGCATTTACCACCCACTCCAAATAAGATTTAAAAATCATCTCTTTTTATGCTTTGATCTAAAATAATTGAAACATTTTGCTCTAGTGGTCATCTTAAAATCAAATCAAAAATGCTATTCAGTAAACACATTAAGTAAGGTAGGTTTACAGTTTAATTACAAACAGTGTTTGTATTTTTGTGTTAAAAAACATCATGTGTTTGATGTTATGGGGTGTCTTTTCTAGAAGCAGAAGTCGCATTTATAAATGCTCTTTTATAACAACTGCAAATTTTGCAATCAAGCACTTAACTGGATGCTTTGTAAAATTTTAATTCAGGTTTGGTTTTCTCCATCTGTACTTTTAGGTCTTAGATGAGTTATTTTTCCTATTAAAGAAACTTCAAGAGGCAATGAAATTATTATTTGACCTGCATTTCATTAATAATAATTATTCATGAAAAAGCATTATTAACACAAATTAGTACCAAGTGTTCATGCATGTCTTGTCTTATATTATTAAACTGTATGCAATACACATTATTGCCTTTAAAAATGATGTTTCCAGCTTCAGATGTACTCATGTGATGTGCTCTACTCTGCAGGAACGCGTCCATATCGATGAATGTGGAGGCGGTGGGAGAACACACAGTAAAGTTTGATGATAAGGCCTTAAGGGACGGGATTGTCCAAATGCTCAAAGGAAACAGCAACCAACCTGTGTGAGTCTCTCTATAAGCACAAGCTGGACTTCACTCCCAGGGACACTACTGCTCTGAGCTGAAACGTTGGACAACAGAGATTCTCATATCACCCTCACCCCCTAGAATAGCTGTTCTCATTGTAATGATGCCAACTTGCTTGATGGTCGCCAAACTGATCAGAGAGGATCAATTATGCAAGTAATGATACTGTATTACAACAACATAGTTATTTGCAAACCTGCATTTTGCAAAAAGCCAAAGTCATAGAGTAATAAAAGCAGATATTTTTGAGTGCAGCCATCCCAAGGGGAGTTCAGGTAAGTAAACTGGAGATCAAACTTTTTTTTCTGCCCCTATAAAAAAATGTGTTTTGTGCTGTCTTTGCAGGATGATTCATTCTCTTTTGCCAAAATACATACGAGGTCCCAAAGGACAAGACTCCAAAATGGCGACCAGGATGTTAGTAGGTAAGCAACTTCACAGTAAAAGGGATACATTCCCCTTTTTTAATGCTTTGAGTCCCCAGAAAAATAGAAATTAAGTTCTTAAGTTACTAAATTTACTTCAGCCTCCACACTTTCTCTTAGCTAACTGTTGCAATGATTATATGTTCATAGAAAAAGAAAATAAGATCCTCAAATGTTTTTTTTTTTTTTTCTTTCCATGTATCGGTCTGATGTGCTTTTATTGTGTTGCTGTGTGATTATTAAGTTTCTCATCTGGATATTTCCTTCAGACTCATCAGAGCGCCCGGATCTTAAGGGGCTTGCCTTCTTCAGGCCCATATCCATCCGGCTTCAGCAGGTCAACGGGTCGTCAAACAAAGAGGCAGACCAGTGGTGGGTGGTAGAGGAGTGCTCTTCTGTTCTCATCTCCTCTGAACAAAAATGCCAAAGCATCGAAATCGTGATTTTCAACGATAAAGTCAGTCCTTCAAGTCTGGGCTTTCTGGCCGGACATGGGTAGGTTACATAAAAATTTCATTTGCCAAGTTATTTTAATTTTTTTATCTGATTTACCAAAATATGCAGATTATTAAATGTTTTATAATAAATGTCTGTGGGTCAGTGTTTATTTCTATTTAATTCATATCAGGTTCTAGTTGGGGAAAGAATATCAGATCAACATATATATTTCTCTCAACACCAAAGTGAAAAGGAATTGACTTTCCAACCGTTTAAGATTTTTTACAAAGATAAGAATTAGTGAAACACATTTTCTTATATTTTTTGCCCCATGATGAAATAGTTGACCACAGAGCAGATAAAGCAAAATTACATGATTTTGTTTAGACTCGTTTTGTTCTTATTGTTGCAGAATCGTTGGCCTGTACATGTCGGTGGTGCTGGTCATCGGGAAGTTTGTCCGGGAATTCTTCAACGGGATATCCCGCTCCATCATGTTTGAGGAACTTCCCTGTGTGGACAGGGTCCTGAAGCTCTGCACGGACATCTTTGTTGTTCGAGAGACCGGAGAGATGGAGCTGGAAGAGACGCTGTTTGAGAAACTCATCTTCCTCTATCGATCCCCAGAGACCATGATCAAGATGACCAGAGAGAAGAAAGACAGCTAGGACTCGAGACCCTACCCACTGTTAGTATGGGTTGAAAATGTTCACTCTGGTGTTGTGGGGGGAGCGAGGATTAAAGGCGACAAGTGATCAGTTCTGACAGTGAGAGCTGTCAAAAACACTATGCAGCAAGATCTTCAGGTTTAGAGTAAATGTTAGAATCAAAAGTATTTCCTGTTGTAGAGAGATTACCATTATCTCTTTCCTGGGACATATTTGTTATATTGAAAAAACAAATATAATCTTTAAATAGGGAATGTTCTTTGATTGTTCATTAAACCTTCAATTAAACCAATGCTAATTTCAGTAGGTGTTTTTAAAGTAAGCTTAACCTAGTACAAAAAATGTACAAAAGCCTGTTATTATTAATAGGACATGACCCTTAAGAGTTATTTTCCAAGTTCTTTTTAAATCAGATGTAAGACAAAATACTAATGAAACTGGGATGTTTAATATATATTTTTGATTTGGGCATAGAATTATTACTCAAGTTAAAGTACAACCAAAGAGTTTGTAGAGCTGGTATAAGGCATCTTCCCTGACACAATTTCACTAGTTTGAATGGTAACAGAAAGTTTGATTTAGTGGATTAAAGGAAAATAAATTCAAATGTGAACGAAAAATTTTACTTCACTGGAAACCTTCAAAGACAGGCTTTCCAGAAGATGAACAATTTTAAATGATAAATACCTTTAACCTGAAATGGCAGCTTCCAATGAAGAAATCTATTCTAGTGATTCATTATGATTGTAGAGCAGGGCAATATGGACACATATTGGAGAGACAACAGACCCGAAATGCCTCCCTCCACAACACCCCAAGTATCAGAGTTGGTCACTAAGCAATATTGTATTTAACAATCTTTGAACTGTACCACTGGTCAAATATTCCTGCCAACTTGAAGCCCGATTTGCAATGCATGCGTGTCTGATGGTTTTAGGTTTAGGATTTGATGACATGTATTATTGATCCTTCTATAAGGTTAAACTACAATCTTTGACAGGTGAATGTATTAAAAAAAATAAAGAAGTCATGCCTTGGTAAACACTGTGTTCCTGTACACTGAATCATAAATAAATACAAAAACTTGTTATATGATAAAACTCGTTCTACACATCTTTACCATGTTCGACAACAGAACACTAAAGAGGCAAATCATTCATGATGGCCATTTTTAATTACATATAAAGATCAATTTCATTCAGGTCCCAGTTGCTAACATGTGGTTCCAGATGTTCTCCAAACTCTTCTTCTCCATGTTTTGAAGGACAGGAGGGAAACAGGGCCTCAAAAACCAGGAAGAAACTATTTACACAACAGCTTCACATCCTGAAAGGAAACGAGAGAAAATCCTTTTACTAGTAATTCAATTTTGGAATAGATTACACAATTAACCATGTTTGAGTGGTACAGCATCAATCAATGAAACGCTCTTATAGTATTGCTTGCTTATTTGGGCCACACATTTTTACACATACATCCATAGCTACAGTAGGTGAAAACAAGACGCCTCAGTTTAGAGCATGAATACTCAAAATGAACCCAGCAGACCTCTATAGGTAGGCCAACATGTACTTAAAGACATCATAGATGGGAATATAATCAACATAGGAAAGGAATTATCTACTATAAGCTTTTTTTCCCCCATCAGAGTAGAACATTTACTTTAAATACAACTTATATGAATAAAAACAAAATGGAATATTTAACTTTGTTCATGTGTGAATGCCAAAAAATTACACATTTGTGTGTGTATATAGTTTTTGACAAAACAATAATTATGTGACGAAAATTCATTTGTTTTTCCTCATTTTGCAGATACACAATATATTCCTGTTCAAATATCCTAGCTTTACACCTAGCCATCAGTGTATAAACTATTTTTGGATAGTGCAACAGGGAACCAATTAAGTACACATCCATGCTACTTTTATGCATGAAATGCACTCTTGCCACAGAAATCACAGCTATAATTAAGTGGGGATCTTATGTAAATAAAATCAATGTTGAAAAGGTCCATGCAGGACGTGTCAAAACAAAATGTTAAGGAGTAGTAGTCTGCTCTGGTGGTGCGCAGCAGTCTTTAATTCAATCTAAGCAAGATTTAAAATTTATTTATCAAAAATCAGCAGATCTGATATGTCAGCAGATAGATGCAGTTAGCTTTAAGGATCAGGTTCCATCAATATTATAAGTAGTTTATAACAACTTTCCGAGTTTGACAGAAATGTTTTAGATGAAAATATAAATAAACTGAAAATAAGTGGCCAAGTTTTTGTTTAATTAACCTTTTGCTATCCGATTATTGATAAATTCATCGAAAAAAAATTATATAGTATTTGATTTGCAAAATAATCTTAAATTGCAGCTCTAATCTAAAATAATCTGGGTAAAGGTTGCTTATTAGCCTTCAATGTCATCCTCACTGACCTAAATGCGGGAAGAAACATCAGGATGAAAAGAGCTAATCCAGCTATATTAAGAAGAAACAAAACTTACATGCTGTTTTGGGCTTTGTGATTTTGACGCTGGCTTCTGCGGCCTTTAGTGCCTCGGTTCTGAACTGCGGTTTCAGCGCAGCCCGCACAGCGTTGGCGCAGATAGCAGAGAAGCGGATGTAGCTGGAAGGACACAATGGTTAGCCTGATACTAAACAACATACAATATTATGTCTAAATGTGGCCGGGATGATAAGTTACATTTGTCTCAAGTTAAATATTATGTATCAAGAATAATTTTACCGTTTGTTTAATCATAAACTTTAATAAAATCTCATGCAGATAGGTCAAGTATTAAAGCTAACTGATGCTAATAGCACATAGCAGGGCAATGAAATTTAATTTAAGGCTATCTTACAAACATTAGAAAATGGCTTTAATTGCACAAACACGTTACTCTAGATATTACGGTTTTCTATGAAGTAACTCAAGGTTAATTCATATAAAACTACTATAATTTAATTTACCTCAGGCCTGCCTGTCTCCAGTATGCAACCATTTTGACTGCTTTATTCCTTCAAGGACAGGTCGATTGGTTGCGTGATGACGTAATTTAACGTACGCTCGGCCCGCACTGTCCAATAACAAACGTTCCTGGCAGTGATTGACAGGGATGACGATTTGAAGCCGCGCCCATTAGAAATAACCTCTTATGTTTCTGGATAAGTCTTATTTAAAATAACTTTTAAAATACTTGAAAATTCAGCTCAATTCAACATTTTTTTGTTTTGTTTTGTTTTTAATCAGAAGGAGAACTGTAATGTTGCTATATTGTTTGTTATTGTAGTTGTTTTCGTTGTGTGATTGTTGTAACTATCTGTTTGCACGAATGAACTTCTGTAATATTATGTTTATAAGGAAATCTGTAAGGAAAGATAGTTTCTGAAGAGGATGTTGTTAATATTGTGTTTGAGGTTTTTTCCCTTTTTTTGTGTATACCAGTTTTGGATACAAATTTTGAAAGAAATTCAATTTAACGTTTTCATTTATTAACACTTTACTTTCTAATGTAGTATGAATATGAAGGTTTCTGTGGTCTGATTGACTGACTGAAACTGAGGTTTGAAACAAAGATTCCAGAATGAGGACTGATTTTAGATTTAGGTCAAATATTAAGTAAGCATTATGACAAAAACGCAACAAAAACAATAAAATAATATCAGTCTAGATCATGAAAATGTATTTTTTCCCCAGTATTGTTTTTAACAGTACTGGGGAAAAAATAATTTTATAATAATACAATTATCATAAAATCTTAAATTCACTATCTTAAAAAAAAAGAGTAAGCAAAACAATTTATATGATAAATAAATTAATATATTTTAGATTGTTCTGGATACTGGTGCAATACTTTTCCTGCCACCAGGGGGCAGTGTGGCTGCTCAGTAAAAGTACGCCGAAGAAAGGCTTNTGAACCTCTTCACTAACAATGGCAATAAACCCGATTCTGATTCTGATTCTGATTCTGAGTTGTGTTTGTAAGGAAATCTTCAAAAGAAAAAAAGATAGTTTTCTAAAGAGTATGTCGTTTTTGAGGGTTTTTTCCCCCTTTTTTGTTTATATCAGTTTTGGATAAACATTTTGAAGCAAATCCACTATCCATTTTAACGTTTTCATTTATTAACACTTTACTTTGTAATGTCGTATGCATATCAAGGTGTCTGTGGTCTGACTGAAACTAAGATTTGAAATAAAGATTCCAGAATGAGGATTGATTTTAGATATAGGTCAAATATTAAGTAAATATTATGACAAAAACGCAACAACACCAAAACAATATCAGCCTAGGACCGGAAAATGTTTTTCCACAATATTGTGATCAACAGCATTTTAATCTCATAATAATAAAAATCTTAGATAATAATCTTAGATCTAGAACAAATGGTTATTAAATCATATAATAAGGTGTTTTTTTTTATCTAAAAAAGAGAAAACAAAAAAAAGTATATATTTTAGATTGTTCTGGATACTGGTGCAATACTTTTCCTGCCACCAGGGGGCAGTGTGGCTGCTCAGTTAAAGTACACCGAAGAAAGGCTTCCCTCATTGCTTCAGTCGGTCTTTCGTCCTTCTTCCCTTCGGGCACGCTGTCATTAAGTCGCCCCGGCTCCCAAGCTTCTGACATAAAAGCCTGAAATAATGAAGATCTGGGCGTCAGAGCACATTTTCAAGTAAGTGTATCCCTTTCTATTATGATATCTAACCGTGCGCAACTAAGGTTTTATCTGTTGTGTAACTCGGGTTGTTCCCTCTTCCTCTTTGTAATCGTTGCTGTTGTTAGTTAGCTTCCTCGGCTAAGGTTGTAGCGAAGTTAGGTAACTTGACGGGAAGCTGCTTAAAGTACATTCCGGACATTTATTAGTCTGTTTATAATGGCTAGCACGGCAGGGTTTTAGCTTTTAAACATGAATATTTAAATTTTGTTGAATGGAAATAAACCGTTAGTTAGCCAAGTTTTAGTTTTAGCATGCTTTTTTTTTTTTATTTTGTTTATTATTCTTCGCTCCTTGTTTATTTTTAAGCATATTTATCATATTAAGACTTGCTTTTATGTTAAACTTGGTGGTTTTCAGGGAGAGCTGCCAGTTAAATGTTACGTATAATATTTTCAGCGTTACATAACTGTCATAACTGTGCGAGTCTGTCGCTGCAGAGACCTCCCTCCTTCCCTCATTAAATAAGCAATGCTTTATTTACGTGCCGCCCCATTCAGGGCTACCGAACTAAGCTCCATGCAGAACAATAGTCTGGTTTGTGGCATTTTTCATCTCTAGAAGTTTCTGGGTAAGCTCAGACGTAGTGATGCTCTGATGCTCTGAGTCTGCGCAATCCGCTACCTGGAAACGACCAGTCAGTGCGCCATTGATTAGTTCTGTGTGATTCTGAATCCTGTGACATAATCATCTTCCTGCAGACGCGTTTCAATGCACAAGTAAAAAGAGAAATGTGTTTGCCCATATATATATATATATATATATATATATATATATATATATATATATATATATATATATATATATACGCACACAACACAGTCTTTCTGGGCCCCCCTCTAAACCTGTATTGTTTGTTTTTCACCTCCCCCTTATGCCTTTAAAGTCTAATTTTTTAACAAGCTGATGCTTTATAGCAGGTATAGCCAATAAAAAATCTGCAGGGTCAGAATAAAGAAAATTGCCAACCAGTAATGGTCCAGAGACATTTTTATATATAATCTCTTACTGTTTATGCATTCATGTTATACATTGAATTTTTAAATAAAAAGAAAAGAAAATTATTTTCCACTTTAAAATCTAAAGTGTTTTTTGAAACAGAGAACAACAATCATTCAGTTTGGTATATAGACAATTTCCTGATTCACATATTTTATAAAACACCTGAACTGACCGTTTATTTTCTTTCTTTTTTATGGCTTAAGGAGAGCTGTGATCTTTAGGCTGCTCTGCAAGGCTTTAACACTTGGTTTGAATGGACATAAAAAGCCATTCTCAAGCACATATCAAGGCGCTCATTTTGAGCCTTTATCCATATTTATTTTTGATTATGTTCATGATGGAGAATGCTGCTTCACAGCAGGAGGTTGAGCCAAACATACTCTTAAATGTTCAGGCTCCGCTCTGGTCCGGCGTGGTCTAGATCCATAATTGTAATCCCACCAAACCGGAAAAAAAAAAAAACGAGAAGATCCGGTTTTTCAAATTAAAATATAGTAACAACAGATTGGTAACTACAAATTGGAGCATAATTCTTATATATTTCAAAAAACTAACACCGTTTATTTAAAAGATTGGATGCAAAATATTGGTACTTCAACAGACCAGGAAGCAGATTTCCCACCTCCATCAGAAACCGTACATGTGCTGGATGCTGGTGGGGATTTTTTAAATATGTCATATTAATTTCTGCATGTTTTTCAATTTAATGATAATATCGCGCATGTTCTCCTCGAGCTCCAAGGATAAGTCGGAGTGCAGCGATAGGGGAGGAACAGCGGAGGCTTTAGGCTTTGCTTTGCACAGGAGGTCTGGAGCGCTGTAGAGCGGAGACGGAGGATGTGGGATTTCATGGTAACAGGAGAAGCGGCGCAAGTTACATTTAGACACTGTTTTCAGACAACATGCATCAAATTATAGATGTTTTCAATCAGGTTGGATCCGGATTATCCAGCAGGTGGGTCCAGATCCGGACTGCGGTCCGCTAATCCGTGACCTCTGCTCTATAGACAGCATTGCCAGACCATTGAATCTTCCTGGTACATCCTTGAGCCCAGATAGTTTTTTATTATCTTAATTTTACTGACAGCCCAATCACCTCCAGTCAGTCAAAGGTACAGATAGGAAAATCTGAAGCAGGTTGTTACATTTCCAATAACAATTTTTGTATGTGCAATTTCTTTCATGCCCTGGAAATCTTTCATATCTTTCTGCATTTAATGTTGGATATTTTCTTCTCATCTATTGAATTTATTTCACTAGTTGATCTTTTCTCTACTTCATAAGAGAACAGCAAGCACGGCAAAATATAGCCTTCTCTGACCTGCTGTATATTAACCAGTCCCTAACTCTGCCCTCTGAATTTTCTGGCAGTTCATTTGGCATCTCTAATAAAGGCTTCCGTTTTGCCATTAAACGCACAACAGTCAGAATCAGTCATTTTTCTTGGCCACAGCGCAGGATCATTGAAATTAATGGTGTGATCGGAGAGTCTGAGCCAATATGCTCAGTCCAGTCTCTGGAAGTGGGTTTGGTACTCACAACCTCAGGATTCCAAGCCCTATGGCCTAACCACTAAGCCACCACTTGCCACGTTACTGCAGGACTTTATTGTTAACTTAGTTTTAAAAAAATGCTTACTTCTATATTTATAGATCTGAATGTTAACTCAAAGTTTCTTTGCTTTTATGTGGGAGCAATCCCACTTTAAGCATATTAACACCACCTAAAGGGCTGGACTGAGAAAAATATATAAAAAATAATTCTTGTTTAATATGATGTGACCAAGATTGAGGTTAGAAATAGTGTTTTATTAAATTGCAATTATATTTGGAACAGTAACTCCTGATTTATTTATTTTTTTGGCTCACATTTAACATTCATACAATTGTCTCATTGTTTTCCTGTTAACAGCCATCCATGGGAGACGGTGACCAAGGCAGCAATGCAGAAGTACCCCAACCCCATGAACCCCAGTGTGTTTGGTGTTGACGTTCTGGACAGAAATGTGGATTCAGAAGGACGGTTACACAGCACCAGACTACTCAGCACAGAGTGGGGGCTTCCGGCCATGGCAAAATCAGTATGTCTACTGATCAAAAAGGCTTTTTGTTTTATTATTAAAAGAAAATTCAAACTCTTTTGCTGTGCCTCAGGCTTGATGAGTGTCTTTGATTTCAGATTATTGGAGTAACAAGAACCTGCACCTACGTTCAAGAGCATTCAGTCGTGGACCCCAACCAGAAAACCTTTGAGCTACAGTCAACAAATGTGAGTAAAACCAATAAAAAGAGTTAGACATGGGAAGGGTTTCTGGGTTCAAAGTTACTTAAGCAAATTAATCTGTTTTACCCAAAGTTAGGTTTGATAAGAGGGGACAAAAATGAAACTATAAATAGACGTAAACGTTTGCAATGTTTGCCCTTGGTGTTGTTTATAGCTTGACTTTGACTAAAGGGCTTTAGTTTTTGTTTGCTGTGGGTCAATTAAAACCTTCATCTGGCCTTTTCTGCCAGCAAGCTTCCTTTTCTACCCTGTCACATTTATCCCAAATGTAACCAGTGACCACTCCTAATTTATACATGATTATAGAAGTGTTTTTTTTTTTTCAGTTTTTAGCTTAAAATTGACTTTTTACGTTAAGTAGTTTGCTAAGTATGTAGATTTAAACAGAGTAAAGATAAGTAACCAAATAAATTCAGGTAAGAAACATTCACTACACAGGTTTGAATTCCTTTGACATGAAAACGAACCGACACAAACCTGCATAGTCAGAAACTGGTGAAAGAGGGACGATATGCGTTTTTGTTGTTAGACATTCTCAGACTATGAGGAGGATGAGCAAACATTGCCAGTAAATTACACTTCCAGCTTCATCGGTTGTAAAAATCCATTTGCTCTTCATTTAAATGTGTTATTTAAAAGTTCTGGCTTTTATTTCTGCTTAGATCTCCTTCACCAACATGGTATCTGTGGATGAGAAGCTGACATACAAGCCCCACCCAGAAGACCCTGGAAAGTAAGTAATCCCAACTTCTCCTTTAGCTTGAAGCCAGGTGTATTCAGATCCTAAGAAGTGATGTCCTAGCCTCGTGAGACCATCCTGATCTCGCGAGCTTTCAAGGTTTCGCTCGCAGATCAGTCTGGAGACTCTCCGTTAAAGAAAATTTGGAGCCGTTCACCAAACGAACGTCCAATCAGCATTGGCTCTGAGGCGGGTTGAGGTGTGACGCAACGAGAAGCGCGACAGTTCAGTCTAAAGAACATGGCGGCTTCAGCCGATGAAACTAACGTTAACGTGGCTAACGAGCAAGTTTTATCGGAATTACAGAGTATTTCTTCACTGAAAGAAGAGCAAAACACTGCTCTGGAGGCTTTTCTCAGAGGTAAAGATGTTTTTGCTCTTCTCCCGACTGGTTTCGGCAAGAGTTGCCT